CCTGCTGATAAGTAGGAATAAAGAAAAACATGTGCTAAAAAGGTACTTAAACTTAGTTCTGTACACGTGGTCTTTCCCAACAAGCTGGTTATAGGGTGTTTTCTGCTTAGTTGGGGTAGCAAGGCAAGCTAGTCTTTTCTGTTAATAGGTTTCTAATGACTTAACTTACTTTTAAATGAACTATTTGAGAGATTTTATTTATTTTGCTTTTCTTTCGTGTGTGTTGTGCCTAATTTTCTATTTCAATCCTTACGCGTTCTCCCACCCACCTTTAGTTCATATTATGTCTGTTTGGGTCTGAAAGGAGAACTACAGATAGAGATTGCAAGCCATTGAATAAAAGCTATTTCAGTTCATAGGTTAGACATAGACCTGGTCAGATTACAATTTATTTGATAATACTAGTATTTAGTCTGTATCTTGGTTTTAAACCAGACAATAATGAATACATTCCTTGCTAATTACTAGTCAGTAACAATCTTTGCTGAACCTGATTAAGAGGATTTATCTGCCCATTCCTACTAATAAAATAATTTCTGGTCATCTGTTGTTTTGTGTGCTCCTGCAAGAAGGTTCTTTAGTAGCTGTTTTGCAAGTTATTTTATTTGTGTTACTTAACATTTGTCTGACTTTCAGTGTCAAATGCAAGTGTTAGTCAAGGAATTCAAGATACTCATTTCATAAAATACTGTTGACTAGTGGAATCATGTCATTTGTATTCTCTTGTCCAGTTTTTCTGAATTCTTTTTTCCTACATAGTGTTCAGGATAGTTTCAAGTTGGGAACAGGTGACAGTAATCTGCTTTAATTTTGATACCTGATTATTTTTGTTTCCAAAGGGTGGCACAAAGGCCAGCCATACACCAAGGACGCCAAAGTGAAGAGCTTCATTCAATGGACTAAAACACAAAGCGAAGCTGATCAAATAAAGAGAACAGTCATTGGTGGCTATTATCCTTTTCCACGACCTCCCAATGACTTTCTGAAATATTGTAAAAACAATAAAGGTATCATACCATCAAATGTCTTGAAGATTTGTAGCCTTTTTTCAGTTCAGTCTTACTCCAGGCTTTTAAAGCATTACTTAAAAGCGACACAGTTACTATTAGTGATTACAGGAATGTGTAATGTCATTTAAGGTTAACTCCCTTTCAGGAATAAATGTATCATAGGCTAAATTCTTATCTTCTAGAGAAGTATCAGGGCACCATTAGCTGCAGGAGAACAGTAGCACCTTAAATGAACTACAGATCTGCCCAGAAGTTTTACTTCTGAATATTTTGGTAAATCAGAATTAAGACAGTTATACTGGAGAATACAGTGAATTAGAAATTTCTCCCAAAACAAAGTTGTGTTAACTGATAATGCATACTAAAAGATGTTGGTGAGCCAAAAAGGTTTATTGTTTCATTTTTTTTTCCATGTGATGTGGAAACCAAAAAGTTTTAAAATTCTTTAAAAAGAGAATATTTAGTAACAAATTATCTTTCATTTTGATTTGTGTATTCAGACATTTTTATATTGTATTTCTTTAAAACTTGCTGATGGAAATTTCTTTTTTGCAGTTGAATCAGTTTTAAAAGCCATAGGTGAAACGGAGAAAGAGATTGAAGGTTTGCACTACAGAGAGCACAAGCGCATTGCTGTTCAGGGAATAATTAGTGCCATAAGGTACATCAGCTGTAGCAATGCAGCTGAAGAAGCTTCAGGAGTGGAACCTGTTCAGGTACAGTGTTTGAGAATTAATGCTGTAGCACTGAAGCAACTCTGATTGTAATTAACATGGGGAATTTTGCATTTGAGTTCAGAACTTAGTTACGTTGTCTGTTGGTTAACTTCATTTGCCATTTTGAGAGGAAAATTTTTGAAAGTCATAGTTTAGAACTTCTTCAAAAGAAATGGTTTCGTGCTTTTCTGGAAATGTTAAGACAATTCTCCCCTAAAACCACATAACTGTTAAGAAGTTGACTACTTGGATATTCTAATGTAAATCAGAATGTGGGAGAGGCAAGTACTACAACATGCTCGCTGTCACTTTCTTGACAGAATTTATCTTATTATAATTTCTGCTAGATAAAATGTGACTTTCAAAAGGTGGGGTAAACAGTTCTGTTCCTTTAAAAGTTGTTTTAAAACTTGCAGGTTTTTGAGTTGGAAGCAATAGCTTTAAGTGTTTGAAACTCTTAATTAACTGTTGTTGCAGAAAGATACTTCTCAGTCTCTTGAGAGCTCTGCTACATCCCAAGAAGACTGTGTTGAGAAGGGGAAGAACACCAACCTTCAAAATAAAGAAGTCAAGGCTTTACTGGGGCCACATGGCACTCCTGGGGAACAACATCAGCACCAAGCTCTGCAGTCAAAAATGAGGTCAGTGAAGAGAAAGATACCATGGAGATTAAATACAGATGCAGAACAGTAAGCTCTCCTCATAAATATGTAATGGATCTTTTAAAAAGTGTTCACAGAGATTAGTTCAAAGCTCAAGCCAAAGAAAATATGGAAGAAAGCTTTAAAAGCATATATAGTTTAATCTTTGAAGGTAATTATGTACTTTTCCTAGCATCAGGTGATGGCAATTATACTGTTCAAGCTAATGAAGGATTGACTAAAGCAGGTGTCTGGTTTACAATGCTCTCTTGTGATAATAGTTCATACTGCTTTTCTGTTAATCTCACAGATTTTAAATACAAGTAGTTAATGCTTGAACCGTATATAGTTCAGTGGCATAGCCATGGGACAAGCAACAGTTAGAGTGGTGTGAGAGAATAAGATTTCTTCACTGAAAATGCAGAGTCAGGATCTGATATACCTGTTTCTCATTTTCAAACATGCCTTACTTTTTTTCCCTTCTGGTTAATGAAATGTGCTGCATGCAGCTGTAACTTGCTGTCAGAAAGCCAAGCAGATGGTGGTCATGTGCTAACATAAAGGCTCAAAATAACTTGTAATACTGTGCGTTTGCTCATGATGTGATTTCATGAAATTGTATTGCGGTCAGACATAGACAAAGGGTGCCAGTCTGATATGAGGAAATGGAATAGGACAAAATAAATTCTCTGATACAACCATGGTAGGTTCAGGAGTAAAATATCTGCTTATATAGGATTGCTATTTGTTGCAATGTTTGTGTAAAATCTAATGTACCCATACATAGTATTAAAAGCTTAACATGTACATTGACAGATTGAATGTTGCAAAACTGTAGCCAGTCAATTTTTTTGGTGGATTTCTCATGCTGTAAAGTGTAGATTTTTCTTCCTGACTTTTCACATGCAGAAATCAATGTGGAAAGAGGGTGAATATTCAGAATTTTTGGAGGGAAAATTAGATTAAATATAATTAGGATTGAATATAAACTTAGGACTAAGAAACCAAGTTAATTCAAATTCTGTCTTGGCAACGTTATAGCAAACCTGTCAGTGGATTTCCATTCCTTAGGTGAAATTCCAGCATTTGAGTGTCTTGAGTTTTTTCTGCCTGGAAGAAAAAACTCGTGTGTACTTTGCTTGTGTATTTCCATTTAGCTAAATACTGTAAAATAATGGTGAATTTCCTACTTCAAGGGGAAGTGCATCTGTTACTCCTGTATCATCTTACCATTATTTCACACGATCTGCAAGAAGAAAATTGGGGTGAGTCATGTTAATTTAATTATGTTAAATAATTGCAGTGATGAAACAAAAACATTTCAAGAGAAACATTTGCACGTCAATAACCTGGATGGAAGTGAAATGAAAGAAGAGATCAGGGTAGAGTTTAGTATTTTCTGTTCACTTCCTACTGTCCACACTCTATTTCAAATATATTGGATTACTTTATTCTAAAACATAATTTGGAGTGTGTTATTAAACATATTTTTATATGGTTACTAGTGCTGCTTGGGGAATATAGACTAACAAGGGACTGTCATGGTAAGCAGACAAATCTATGTAGTCTTTGTTTCAGAAGGTTACAGTTTAAACTAGAAGGTCAAAGGTAGGAGGGAGAGATGCTTGATTAGCAATCAGAGTGAACAATGTAAAAGCATTAGTGGATTTGCTAGTGGTGGTTGAGCTATACATAAATCATCCTTGGTACTACAGAGGTTTGAGTATAGTTGTCCCTGAGAAGCCACTTGGCTCCTTCCACGACCTAGCACTCAGTCTTTATTGAACTCTGTTTGAATCCAGAGAATGATTTAAAAAAAAAAAAATCCAGGTGGGAACTTCAAATCCAGAGCCCTGATAGGTCACAAACAAAATGAAATAGCTACAAATGGAAAACTATATGTAGAAAATTGAATGAGTGGTGGTATTTGTTAGCTGGGGTAAAAAGCTACTTTCAGTCCTGTGTTTTGTTTAAGGGCCATAAATTCTTGTAATTTGTTCCAAACACAGCTCAGGTAACTTGAGTGTTTGAACTCTGGTGTGAGGAACTTCAGCTGTTTGGGTTTTTTGACAGTGAATATTTGAGCTTGTGTCAGGAATACATATGCCCCTCAGTTGCCTTCTTACTTTACTTTTAGCACCTCTTCCCTCCCCCATAAATCAACAAATCATGTTGATAGGGTTATAGTGATGCTAGTCATGACAGAGTTGATCATAAATTGTTGACCATTCTGTCAGTATTACTGCCCTAAATGCCTGCCGATTTTCTTGAAAAGACATTTCTGGAAGCTAATTTGCAAAAGTTTTTTCTGTGGGATAAACAAGGCTCTTTTGAACCCTCATGTCTGTTGTTTCCTCTAGTCTTTGATACTGCATTTTCTACGGGAAATAGTTGCCTGGCTCTGCAACCTGTTGATTAAAAGTGTGACACAGCTTTAAGGTCTGCAGGTGGTGCAAGAGTTTGCAGGGACTCGTGGCACAAATCCATAGGAAAATCAGGAAGGTTTTTTGTCTGTGAGGAATCCTATTTTCTTTCACTTGCTGAAAAGTGTTCCATTTTTTCTTGGGGGTGGAGGGTGTAAAGAATGTTTTCTCCCCATTTCTTAAAAGTGAAGCAAAAAGTTAAGGCATGTTTACTTTGTTCTCTGCTTTTCTCAATCTACTTCTCTCCTCGCTACCTGTGTGTCTACTCTATGCCATTAGTGCTAAAATTCCAGCTAAAGGAGGAGAAAGTCTGTGTTGGATTATGGAAAGCTGGTTCACTCTATATAATTAAAAGGTAACTTGTGTATTTCTGTAATTAATTATGAAGTTGTGCTGAACTACCCAAACTGCAGAAGACAAAATAGAAAGCAGCTTTTCTTAAGTTTATTCAGATACCATGGTGAGTGAAATGGAGCAAAGAAGAAGGAGTATGTGAGGCTAAGAGCTTATTTTAGCACATTGCAGCTGCAGAGCACCTGTTACACTTTTCTCCTGACTAATATCCTAATTAATTCATTAGAAATTGTTAGAGAATATTTGCTTATTTTTTTCATGGTTAAAATGAAAATATACAAAAAATATAATTTTCTTCCTTTAACAAATTGTTACAGCAGGATAGTATGTCCAAAGGAAAATATTTCCACCGTCTCTGTCACTTTGGATTCTGGAGTGAGGATGCAGCTCCATTCATGCGTTGGTTTTGAGTGCTGAAGGGTGCTGATGTGGAATGCTGTGCAACCCTGGTTTAGAATCGAGTCATAAACCTATTGGCCATCTGTGATGTTCAGCTTTTAGTGTCACACGTGCCATTTCCAGTAGGTGCCCAGTAGAGGGCAACAAACGCTATTTTTTGAGTGTAAAGCAAATAAATTCAGCATTTCTTGTCCTAAGCTCTTCAAAACTGACTCAGCATAGTAGGTTTCATGTCAAGCTGCTGTATTACAAGTCTCATCATATGAAACGAGGTACTAGTGCTCTCTCATTCAAACTTGTATAATTTATCATTATAAATTTGTCAAGGTTTGAACTTCTGCTGCATGGTGTTGGAGGTTAAATAAGTTTTATATATATATATATATACACCATAACTTTCTTTTTATAGTTTGGATAAACTTCAACATGAAGATTGTGTGCAAGATAAAAATCAACAGGCTGTATCAGTCAGTTCACAGCACTGCACAGGTATGTTGCAAACGGTTTCTACATAAACTTTAGGAGGTTTAGGCCTCCTTCTTCTCTTCAGGTCCATAACGGGCAACAAAGATGTCCTTATAGCCCTTGTTTGTCAAGACAGCTTTTCTGTACATCTGACTGCATCGACCTCTAGGGAGCCACTGCAGCACCATGTTGTTAGTGTCCTTATGTTCAGTCATGCCCCTGACAGGTTCTAAAGGATGGCTGGAAGGGCAGTGTTGGACTGCTTCCCAGTACAAGGAAGAAATTCTCAGGGTTGCTTTACACAAGTGTTAAGTTAGCTTCACGTTTCAGCAGCACTTAGCATAAGACCTCACATTTTCTGTTGGCAGTTTTCTTGCTGTAGTGATGTGCATGTGGTAAAGCTGTGCCTCTCTGGGAAGGCAGCCCCAAAGCTATGTGAGTACCTAATTAAAACGACAGGTACAAGGTTTGGGAATGAAGTGGATGAAACATACAAGCTAGTAATAAGAATTATGTTTGGTTTAGGGATTTTTCTAAGTCAATATTATCAATTTTTTCTTTTGTCGTCTGCAATTGAAAAATTCACTTGTGTTCCATGCAGTTAGTTTCTCAATATCTATTTTTGATTGAAGAAAGAAGTCTAACTTGTCAGCTGTCATTATCTGCAGCTTTGTCTGTTTCTTAGGTCATGCAAATATGTTGGTATATATTCCTGGTTTCAAAGCTGACTGAATATACTGAGTCATGTAATTTCATCTGAAAAATGATCTTATTTCCTTTGTTGAGTGTTCATGCATATGTTGTATCCAGTTTGTGTGCATTCTGGTTTCTTCATTTTTTAACATATTGATACTCCATCATAGTAGTTATGACTCAAAAGAATTAAGAAGCATATGATCATGAAGAAGTGTTGGGGAGGATAATACATCCAGTTCAGAAGGCTACTTGATTAGAAGTTGTTTCACAGGAGATGGAGGAGATACAAGGTTATACTTTAAGCTTTTTGATAAGCTCAAAAGGTGAAGTTTAACACTTGCCTTCAAAATTGGAAGTGATGGTGAGATATGCTTTTACCATTAACAATGCTGAAGTTACATGGAAAAGGGATGAAGAACAGAGCTATCATTGACTGTATAACAAGGAATTTTAAATGTAGCTTTGTCTTCAGTGTAAGCATATAGTTATTGTGCAAGGGATTAAAAAGTTTACCTTCACTTGTACCTATTTTAAACTTCATTAAACTTCATTAAAAAGGGATTAAAAAGTTTACCTTCACTTGTACCCATTTTAAACTTGTTTTCATTATTTCTGGCTGTTCATAAAACAAGTTGTGCTCTCCATGTGGTGAAATAAGTCTTCTTACTACAAGTCTAACCTCCAAGGTTCCAAGTTTACTCATGTTCCAACTCTAGTTTAATTCATGTTGTTGTATGTTTTGAACATTCTGCCATTTCTTCATAGTTGAAGCATTGTATTGAAATTATTTCTCATTTACAGAGAAGTGATACAATTCTACAAGCATATGACAACTAAATATTTTCTGTGTTTATAATAGATGGAGAAGGAATGAGTGATATATCTGAAACTGAAGAGCCTGGAAGAACTTGTGATTCATGGCAGAGTGACCTGTGGACACAAGTGAAAGACAAATTAATGAACTATTTGCATCACAGCAAAATTTTCCCTGAAAGCATCCCACGTAAATTTGATTATGTGCACAAAGACTTACTTATGCAACAGTACAACCTTCACGCAGCAGTGCACCAGCCAAAAGAAACCAGAACACATAAAAATATCAATGACTTTAAAAGTGCTAGTGGCCTTGGGTATTATGAGGTGACAGTTCTGGGTAAGTTTTTGGTAGCTTAGCTTCTAAAAAAGGTTAAGCAGAAATAGTGTAAGATCTTAGGTCTTTGCTGCATTAACTTGAGAGTGACTTGAAAGTCTGTCAGAAAATGGATGGATTTCTATAAATTAGTTGATTTTGAATATTTCTTGAAGTTAAAAAAATAAAACTATTGACATTTTAATTTTTTGTTGAGGTCACAATCTAGAATAATTTTTTTACCAGAAACTTGTACTTTAAATGAAATAACTTGAGTATCTTGTTTCTAGTATCACTTTTCATGTAATTTTGTGCATAGGTTTGTGTGTATCATTTGGAGAATGTTTGTAGTCCTTCAGCTAATGACTATTACAATTAGATGCAGGTCTTGTTCACTAGTTCGACCAGTCTGACACAATCAGGTAAATTATTCCTGCTGAAGAGGCATCTGAGAAACAAGTTAGTGTTCTTAAAGTGAAAGGACAACTATAAATGCTTCTTTTGAGCTTTATGCTGAGTTGTTTCCTTGAGTACTGTTGCTCCTCAGGTGCCTTCCATGCTAGAAAATTAAGGGCTGTATTTTAGCCATACTCATCTGCTCTCTGCTGTTTCTGGTTAGCAGAAGGTATCAGCTGATTGATCTTTATTTGTTAAAATATAAATCTTCAAGTTGATGTGTATCTATTAGCCTTACTGTTGGATATTAATCTGATTTATTTTGTTTTCCCATTGAAAGGAGAATTCCCTAGTTTAATAATGTTCGTGTTAAGTAACTATACCTTTAAAATTTCCATTATTTGCTAAGGGAGATTTGCAAAGAAGGGTTTTTTTTATATATATATATTTACAGTCTTTAGAATCCTGGGTCTTAAAATATTCAAGACAAAAAATAGCACAAGTGCTGCACAACATATTCACACTGCATAGATACACTGGTTGTAAGATTAATTTCTCTGCCCTTATAGCAGTGATGAAGTTAAAAAGGAGTGTGAAATGGCTTCCAATGTTGGTTTAATATTTTCTGAGCTAACAGCATCATTAGCCTTAAATCATAATGTTACAACATCATAGCAATTTGAATATGCTTATTTATAAGTATATATGCATATATATACTTAAATGTATTCTTATGTATCAATTATTAATTAATGGGCAAAAAACAAGTAAATAAAAAACAATGGTTAGCCTACAATAATTTGTTTTTTTTAAAAAGAAAAAAGAAACTGTGAAGTTGCTAATGGGGTGATTAGCATTTCTGCTAACTTAATTTTTTTTCTCAACAGGCATAAACCACGATGTAGCAATAGATGTTGCATTTCTTCCACTGTTTTGTCCTGAAGATCCTCACCTATTTCAACTAGAAGACACTCAGAACGATACGTTACTGTCTTGTATGAGTTGCATCTCTGCACATCAACAGAAGACTGCTAGCAATGGAAGGCTTTGTGATGTGTTTCCACTTTCAAGTGAGACTGGCTTTCACTGACATTACTCATTTATCATTTCTTAGTTTATGCTTCAATGCAAGAGTTAATCCTCTATTGAAATCTCTGTTGTAGGTCAAACATTGTTCATCTCTTCAGTGAAAGATAGATGAAATCTGCCTTGACCACCTTTAGTAAACAATTATAATACTGAACTTTGTAGGCAGTTTTTACTGGAGCTGTTGTCATACTCTGAAGATAGTCTTTTAATATTCAAACCACAAACTCCAAGGTGACCTAAGCAGTATTTGCAGTTACTTGCTGATGCAACATTATACTGAGATAGAAGTCAGTGTGTGTGACTGAGCACATGAATATTTGTCTTGATCTGCTTTGAAATAGTCAGTCGATCCATCTCATTGATGTCACTTTGGACAGCTGCTTTAACACAACCTATGGTGCCTATAAACTGAAGTATTTGCCTGCTGTTGAACTATTTTCCTTCAGATTGTGTTTCTAGTTACTAGCACCTCACAGCAAATATGGTGAACACTAGTAATGTGTATCCTACTGCAAAGTGCTACATAAACATTGCGTTTTCCTCCACATTTATGTACAGACCAGACTTTATTTAAATACATCTTTACTTTTCCTTGAATAATACTATGAAATCTGAGACTCACTAATGGTTAAGTATTGCATATTTCAGCTTTTCCATATCTAAGTTCTGATGGTATAATTTCTACTGATTGAATTTACAAATAAAATTCTACCAAAAATAAATATGAAATCCCAGTAGGCCAGCATTGAATAGTTAGAGTGAGGTTTTTCTCTCACAGTTGAACATACATACATCGCTGCATGGAAAATGACATCAATTTAGAATATGTTTTTCTTCTATGTATATTAAAACTCCCTTTTCTTAACTTCTAGGTGAAATTGTAAAAGCAGCAATGGAGCTGGATGGCAAACATGTTATCTGCATCTTGGACATCTGTCACTTGGGTGATGATAAGGTGGAAGTCTTTTTGAGCAAAATCTACAAGACAGCAGAACCTGATGTCTTGGATCTAGTGTAATTTAATAATTTATTTTTCAAATGTTTATATTTTTCAAAAGGAGGGAAATAAAATTGTTGTAAGTTTGAGTGTACCCTCTACACATTGCACTTTTCTAGAACTGGCAGACACAAACATAAAATTACGATTCTTAGAGCAATTGTATTGGTCATCCATGTAACTGAGAAGGGTAATTGTGGCCTTTATTTTGACAGTCTTGAAATAGATTACACAATGTCTTGGTTACTTAGGTTGAATAGGCAGTACAGTGAGTGAGCTTGTCTTTTGATAGGATACCAAGTAGTATGATTATCAACTCTTCTTGTGCACATCCGTACACAGAAATGTGTATATCAGGGTGAGAACTGAGAAGAGAGGCAGGCTTTCCCAATATTGAAGGCAATGTTTGCAACAGAATGAACTGGCTGTGATATAAATTTAGGCTGGAAATTAGAATAATTTTTAGGTTTAGAAGCTGTTGTATTCTATAGTGATCTTTTAGTGTGAGGTACGGGCAGCCTAACTGCTCTTTAGGCTTCAAGATTATTATGTATGTGAAAGGGATTAAATACTGTGGTGCCTTTAGTATTGGGGACTGGACTCACTGATCCAAAAGCCTCTTTCATTTTGTTTTACCTAAGTAAGGTCAGCTGCTGTGTTTTTAAATGTCTGCTTTTGTATATACAGCCTTGGGTAGGAAGTTTAGCACCCAAAGGTTTTTAACATATTTTATTTAATAATTAAAAAATAATGATTTTTTAAAATGTTAAGTTTGTTAATGGGACTTGCTTCTGCTTTGCAAGAGGGGAGCTGTCTTTAAGGAGTGCTTAGCACGGCAGGATATCCAGTTTGTCACACCACTGGTTTTTTTTGTGTTCATCAGCACTGTCCTCTTTCTGTGTAGTAACAGGTGTATTCTGGGTGCATGAAGGAGCTCAGCAGCTGCAAGAAGCTGCTACTTCCACAAGAGCAAGAGCTTCTTGCTCTTGCTTATATACTAAGCATCAGCTGGCTCCTGCTGATCTCAGAACCAAGCCCCACTTTTTCCTTCCATGTCAAACAGCCTGAAGTCAATTATACAGCTGGATCCTTAGGCAAGTCTTCTCAATCAGGAGGTAAAGCACATTGCTATTTGATCCATGTAAAATGCTGGTCTCAGTTCAAATCTTTGTGAAGAAAGGATTGCATTATGGAAGCTTGTCAGTTAAGCTGTACCATTACTGACCAAAAGCCTGGAGTTAATTTATAGTAACAGATTTGGTTTGTTGTGGAAAACTTCTCTGCACGTTTTAGCAGCCTGTTGGCAATTGGGGGGTATTACTTGCAACTAGTAGCTTGCTCACCTGCCCTAGGGACAGTGGACTTTGTCTTCAAGTACTGAAGTCTATATTATGTTAATTGAAAGAGAAACTTTATTGTCTTTATTATAATACAAATTCATAGGCAGCTTCAGATAGGAAGTAAAAGGCCTAACATTCTAAAGAAATAGATTTTTTTTTTTGTCTCTCTCATGTATGGTTTACAGTTTAAAAATGTATTATGAGAAAAGTTTAATTTAAATTGCACAGGAACTAAGAATTAATTAAATGTGATTGTGTATTGTATGTTTATATTTTGTATTAATCATACAGTGTTATTTCTAGAGCAATGTTTGTCAACTAATGCCTTTCGGAGTACCCTGTAACCTTGCCACAGAAGGCAAAATGCAAGCATGCCAACCCAAGAAGACTGTGGTATTGCTTGCAATATGTTATTTGTGTAATTTTGTTGCTTATGGGTATGTGAAGATCAGAGGCCATTGCTCTAGAGTAAGAGAGAGAAACACCAGCACTTCTTGTACCAAACTGAGCCATGCTGACTGTGCCAGCCTGTTTTTTTTTTATTAAGATATACTTCAAATCGAAGTCTAATTTTAATGAAACCATTATTTCTAGAACCAATTTTTAAAGTAATCATCTTTGTATGAAGGGGCTGATGTGGCTAGCACTGTCACAGAGCCACTCTATTCAGTTGTTGTAGTCACTTCATCCATTCCATACCGTAGCAAGTCAGCAAAGGCTGCTACATTGCACTGCTTGCTCCCCTTCAAACATGTAGCATTAATCACTCCATTCTCCTTGTTAGAACTTCCTAACTCTAAAATAAATATTATAATGTTATGGAATATGTGTAATATATCTTGAGACTTTAAAGTACCTAATTTTATTTTACAGAAGGGTGATTTGAAATTTTTCATGGAGAAAGCTGAGGGGAGATATTTACCCTTGCAGAATGGAGTGCCGATGTTAGAAGCACAGGTTCTTTCTGTGTGTAGCTAGAGAACACTCAATGTCTGTAGTAGCCTTGGAATTTCAATACTCTGGGTCATTCTGTGGGAGCACTTACCCAAGTTACACCGAATTGAAATCCTGACTTCAGTTTCTGAAGTGTTGCAGTGTTAATATCTCGTTCCACCACTCTGCCTCTCTCCTTCCTGCCAAACCAGCCCTGTAGCACTGGGGCAAAGGTCCTTGCTGCTATATTTCGCTGAGTGTTTTTTGACACAAGTATAAAACCGAAGTATTTTTGATTAATGTTAATTTGCTTTGTTAAACCAAGATACAATATCTATACTCCTGCAAAATGTCATAGGAATCATCCTTCTTGCTGCTCTATACTGCTGATGGTAAACTACTATCAAACACTTTTCCTAGCTGTAGAATTCATGCCCAACCAAAGAACTGTACTATAAAATCTTGAGCTGGCATGTTTCTTGTGTTTTCAGCATTAATTTCAAAGAAAAGCAAAATAAAGTAGTCTGTATGTAGCTAATGGTACTTTTGTTTGTAAAACTTGTTGAGTCATAGATCTTAGAGGTAAGATCAGTTTTGAATTAATGTGATGTAGAATTAGTACGGCACTGAAGTCTGGAGAATATAAATAAATGAATTAATATATGTAAACATCTTGGATTACTTCTTTCAATTTATTTCCTTTTTTTTTTTTCACTTCTGAAAGCTCTTTTGGTTTTCCAAGAATCTTCTCCACAGTCACATTTACTCTTTTAAAAAATCTTTACAGGACTACTTAGTCAAGCTTCCATCAAATTATATGTCAGCAATTGCAGCTTCTCAGAAACACAGGAAAAAGGTCTGGATGACTTGACAATTTGTCCTTATTTTCATTATGGACTACAGATTTCTGGCATTAGTAAGGTTTTCATTTTTCTGCTCTAATACAATAAAACAGGAGTTGATACTAGTAATCATCATGGAATGCAACACTGACTTAATTCAGAGAAAGAATCTACATCCAGAAATGGAGAGTCATGTGATAATCATTCAGTGTAAATCATCTCAGTGTAAATCTTGAAAGTGAGCTAGAGTGTGAAAGTGGGCTGAAAGAGAGAGTTTGGTTCTGTGATCAGTTTAGGTGATTCTACATCTCTTGTATTGGTATAAATCAATGTTAAAATCATCTCATTATACACACCAGAGCAAGCTGCATCTGACAGAGCAGATGACTGGAAGAATCTGAAAGTAGAAATTTGGGGAATGACTTTACTATCTTAGTCCATTAGATGGGTAATTTTTTTTAACATTTCCCTGCCTCCCACTTCTGACCTTTTAACAAGGTCATTTGCATCACAGTGAAGTGAGAACCCTGAGCTTACATCACGGAATGAAAGATGACCTGGGTCCCTGAATTGGTGTTCAGGTTAAACTGGGAGCAGGGGGCTTGAGTAATCTCTCAGGAAGCCTCTTCAAAGCTAGAATTTGCAGCAAAGGAGGGGGAGAACTGCGTTTTGTGAAAAAGGAGCAGAAAGTTAGGGCCAAAAGTTACTTGCAGGTCCATCGGTTTGCACCTTGATTTCACAATAGGTAGCTGTGTCACCTGTGTCCCAGCCCCCACTCCAGATAAGCTCACTGATACCTCGAGGACTTGCCTGGGTGGTGTCAAGTTCCTGTTGAAACTGAAATTTCAAACTCTTCAGCAGGCTGTGGGCTAACAACAACTGCCACCAGCTGAATCTATCTGTAGATACCTAAATTTTGTGCTTATACAGATAAGCAATGAACCAAATACCTAAGTTCAGGTTTTTCTCCCTCCTGGCAGTTAGCATTTTATTCAATGCTACCAAGGCATTTTCTGTAACTGCCTCTGTGAGTTTATTTTATTTCAACAGTGCCAGCAACACAACTGTGTCCGAGCACTGTGAATGTGGCCTGTATGGATTAAATTCTCCTCTGCTTAGTGCGCAGGGGCTTGTGAGCATTCCAAAATCTGCAAATCTTCTAGCCTGCGATGCCAATACTGAGTTCACAATCATGAAACCACCGTGGATAGCACTGATTGAAAGAGGCAATTGCACTTTTGCTGAAAAAATCAAGGTGGCTGCCAGAAGGGGTGCAACAGCAGCTGTGATCTACAACGCAGTGGACAAGGGCAACAGCACCGTCCTGATGTCACATCTCGGTGAGTACTGCAGTGTGAAGCTCTGAAACGAGCATTTCTCTGAAGTTTAGTCCAGGACAGCACAGCCAGGCTTGTAAGGAAGCAGTTGTGTTTTTGAGTGATTGTTGCTTTAATCAAGAAATTCAATGGGAAAGAAAATGGATTGTGCGTCTTGAGTCGACTTCAGTGCTTAGTAGGAAACCCTCTGCTGTTACCTTCTGAGCTTGGTACAGTGCAGCCAGACCAGTGAGTCTCTTAAGTCCATTTCTTACTTGTAGAACATGCAAATTATTTTAGTAGAGAAGCCATAGTGTCTGCTTTGAAAACACTAGTTTGTTTTTCAAGGTCAGAGGACAGAAATTAACCTAAAAGTGTCTGCAGCATAGGTATATGCTTTGCAGGTTGCAAGCCAGATCTTGCTGCTGCTTTTTCTGCCCCCCAAAATTGTTCTAAATCTTTCTGAATCCTCTTCTAAGATTCCCTATTAATGAGAGGTTAGACAAAATTATTGGAATTGCCTATTCTGGCCCTAATAGCAATGATCTGTTATTAGGGAAGAACTGAGAAGCTAACTGTGATAGTGAAATGTTTGGCTTTAATTTCTGTGTGTGTTTCTCTAGGTCAACCTGTCTAATAAGCATTTTAGTATAAAGCATAAGTATATGTAGCTAGTTCTGTGAAATACACTTTCGTGGAGCTGCACTAGGAATCCTGTGGCTTAAGTCTTGCTTGATTTTTGTGAGAATGCTGAGCAATTTTTAGTTGGGAGATGAGCCAGCATGTTATGGATCACATCCCTGTGCTGGTTTGTGTTGTCACTTCAGGAAATTTCTAGCTGTGGAGCCCACATCTGGGCAGTTCCCAGGAGTCAGCCAACACCAGCCATTGCACAGGCTGGCTCGGAGTCTCCATTAAGCACCTGTAGGAGCATCACAGGTGCTTCACAAACCTAACCATGGTGTAAGGCTCAGCTCCAAATGAAAAAAGCCTCCTAAATGAGGTCTGGCACAACACACACAAAAACATGTTGTGCAGCACTGAAAGTGCAGTGGCTTGTTGTAGTACACAGTCAGCTTTGACTTTCCTGACATCGTGACAGAGCTACTGTTTGCAAATGGAGCTTAAATGTTTTGCTGGAAATGTGTAGCAAGTACACCAAAGCTTTTTGTTCTACCTCTGGAGAAAGTCATTTAGATTTCAGTGACTGGCATGTCAAGATTCAAATGAACTTGCTTTTTTTGTTTGGCTTTGGAGCATGCCAGCTCATGCTACCACGTGAATAAAGAAAGAATTGTACTGGCTTTATGTAGCTGCCAAATTGGTGCCAGCTGAGTTTCGAGTGAGTGGTGGTGGCCTCAGCTGGGCCACAGTGTGAGCAGGGCAGCCCATCCCCCCCCAGGTCAGTGAAGGAGAATGGGTGGAACCTTGTTTAGACATGCTGGGTACCTGGCATGTCACAAACCTGACAGTTCAACTAGACTCCAGAAATAAGACGATTTTTAAGGTAAGCTCCAAAAGCAGAACCTAATTTTTCAGATATTTTTTTTTTTCTAAAGCAAAAAAAGATTTGTTAAATCTTGAAAGAACAGATATATCATCTCAGAGTCGATTTCAAGAGAGATGAAGTCCCATCTTCTTAGTTTAATTCCTTTAGTTTCCTCAAAGAGGAGTTGTGATTTTTATAGGACTATTTCCTGTAGTCGTCCTGTAGGACTAAAACAGGTATTATGATCTATTTGGTGGCAAAGAGGGTTAATAAATCAGTGCAGGAGTAATGTGAGTTAAACACTGTGAGGGCAAACTACTTCAGTGAGATGAGCTCTTAATGTAATCAGTACAGAAGCATCTTCTCTCTACATTTGTTTCCCTCAGGGCAAAGTGTGGAGCCATACCTTCTTTAGGTGAAACAGAAGAAGGCTGGGTGTGCGGGGGGTGTCATTGTAGCACATCGTTCAGAGCAAAGTGCTTGGAGATAAGTTCTTTTTTTACAGAAGAGTTGTTCACAGGGCTGGAGAAGGAGTTCTCTCTGACTGGAATCTGCAAAAGGTGGCATCCCCCAGAGAGGTCTGAGGAGACTGGGGGATCAATCCCCTCTGCTATTTTGGCTGGAGACCTTTGGAGATGAGATGCCCTGTTGGCAGAGCAGCAAGAGAAAAATCTGCTGCCAGTGACCTGCAAGCTCCTGATGAAACAAGGAGCAGCAGCCTCTGGGGTTATCAACCACTTCTGGCTGGGGCCAGCCCTGACATCTTCAGTCAGTCATCTCTGTATTGCTCAGCTGCCCTGCAGGGCTGCAGGAATCCCATCACCTGGTTATTTATTAGGCCCTGGGGCCTTGGCTGCAGTTTCCTGCCATCCTCCCTTCCTGCTGCCTTAACATAAAATCAATAAGCTTGCTAACCAGCCTTATTTTCTGTTGCAACATTACGATATTATGTATGTATTTCACATCATAAAACATTCACTCAGTGTTACAGCAATTAAATAGTTTGTTCTGGGCACAGTCCAGGTTTGCAAGAACTGGTAATTTAAAGCTGCTGGGAAAAAAAACAAAGGGAAAAACCTCCCCTCTTGATACCTTCTTCCTTGTCCTCTGCTGCAGTTCCTTTTACCTGTCCTCAGTTTTACTTGTTACTGGGTGTTGGTTTCTTGTTACACACGTAAAAGATAAAACCAGTACATTAATAACTTTTACAGTGGAAAATCTTAGAGACCAAGATGCTAGTAACAACTGTCCCATTCTTCTCTGCTTACACCAATCACTGGTGGGAAAACGCTCTAATATGAAAGATTTTCTGTAGGTGTTTGTGTCTTACTGGCATGAAATTAGATTGATCCAGTGATACAGAGATGAAGCTTTGGATTGAAGAAAAATGTCTCGTTTTAGTAGTTCTAGCACTTAATCAATTTTCTCCAGCAAGAAAATGGAATATGCATCTATAACAATGTTTTTCCAGCACTGCTCCTTGAAATTTAAATGGAAATTCCAGGAATTACCAAGTTGTTGAAACATAGCCAAATTTAAAGAAGTTATTTGGGGGTGGGCTCCTTCTTTAGTAACAAATAGCAGAGCACAGAGGGTAGCAGAATAAGGCTGCTGTGCAGAGGCACACAGCTGCCAGCTGGGGCCCTGCTCACACAGCACTGCTGGCAGGGCCCGGCAGAGGGCTGTGTCCTCTCGTCACTGGGATTGCTTCCCTTTTTTCCTGTCCACCTACAACAGAAAACAGGAGAGAGATGGGAGTATTAAAATAATTAAATTAAATTAAAACACCATTATTGCTGCCATTTGGATAGTAGTTCAACATAGCAGCTAAGCTAAAAGATCAAGTGTGTTCTGAAAGGTTTTCTCCAAGGGATTTACTAAGACCCAGTGAAAGGAAACTCTCTTACTGGTTAAGAAGCTTGAAGAACAGTACCCTGGCAGAACTGTTGTACAACAGAAACAAGCAGATATCTCAGTTTTTCTGCACAATATAATCAATTGGCAATCATGACAGTAATTTTTAAAAAAACAACTATAATGTTGTGAAACTGCATTTCCTTCTAGCTTGTTTCCAGGACATTCTGTAGCCTTGAAGTCTAACTTCTGTTATCTCAGAAGATTTTTGAGATAAGATTGTATCAGCTGTGTGTGCAATACTTATTATAAACTTGTGGGCTAAATACCTGACAATGGAGTTTGGTTTTATCTTTTGTTTTGAAAGCTGGTATAAAGTCCTCCTCAGATTCTCCATCTGAACTCTCTGAAATATCATTGCTTATTTGATCTTCAGAGTAATTTCTTTTTAACAGCTAATTTTGAGTCATTTCCTCTGGTTACTATAGAAAAAGCCAGACTCTTTGTCCTAACTTTGAACAGTCTGTTGGACCTGCACGGGAAAACAAATGGCTTTCCAAGAACATCCATGGAAAGCAGATGCCGTGAACTTGCCCTGTCATTTATTCCTTGTGAAGTAAGTGGCTCTGCTAACAGCAGTCCAGATGCTTCTATGAAGTCAGTATTTTCGTAGCATAGACTAAGTTTCTCCATTTATTGTCCGGGAAAATTGTCTAAGAGGCTTCAAGTCTTTGATGCTGTGAAAGGTGTTGAAGCAGGGAGGGCAGCAGCAGGAAGTGCAAAGAACACAGCCCTGCCTGTGGGAGCCACTCCTGCCTGGAGAGACTGGGAGAGCTAGGGCAGGTCTTTCTGGAGGTGGTGTGAGAAGTTCTCATCCATGAGTACAAATTCCTGATGGGACCAGGGAGGGTAAATAGGATGAAGCCAGGCTCCTCTCAGTGGTGCCTAGTGGAAGAAATAGAGGCAATGGACACAAACAAGATGTTACCTAAGAAAAAAATCTTCACTGTGAGGGTGATTGACCAGTGTGGCAGGTTCCCTAGAGAAGTTGTGCAGTCTCCATCTTTGGAGACACTCAAAACCCCACTGGATATGGCCCTGGGTGCATGGCCTGTCTCCAGCTGTCCTGCTCAGAGATGGGTTGGACTGTCCATGCTGCAGAGAAGACAGCCTTTTCCTTCCAGAAAGGAAGCAGCGATAAAAATCCCTGTGGGCTGTGCTCCCCTCCACAGAGCACAGGCTGCCAGAGCTGAGCTCAGGTCTGGGATTTTCCAGAGTTTTTCCAGAACATGGAGCGAGCAAAGCCCAGGACCTCACCACCCTGGTGTTCAGAGCTGTTTCTTTAGCTCCCAAGGTAATCGATGGGATGAGCACTGGGTTTATTTCATGTGACTACATTCTGTGTCCCACTTGTTGATCCATAAACTTGGTGGTGAACATACACAGGGAGCCAGATTCTGCTTCTGCGAAAAAGCAGCAGGTTTGCCCTGGGACCATAGAGTGGCTCTCTCATGAACTTCCCCAGTTTACAAAGCTCAGGAAAGGTTTTGCAAAACTTTAACTGCCAAAACCAAAACAAGAAGCCAACCTGCTGGCAAGCCATTTCCCCTGCAAAGAGGAAAGTGGCTGTTTAATCTGCCAGAAACAAAGTACAAGAAGAAATATTTGCATCTAATCAAGT